CATATCTTAGTCAATTCTTACTCAAATTTGATTAATAAAGTATCTATCTGAAGGGGATTTTAAAAGTATGAATTTAGGTACTAATAGTACACATTTATGTTAAGCATTGAGTGAGATATTGTATTTTCTTTGTGTTTTTCAACTTTGTGACGAAAAAATCACGTGATCTTGCCATTCTAAGGAATTATGCAAGTAGCAGTAACAATAGACAGGCTGTGCTGGTTAGCAGGGCTCGGACAGCTTGACTGTTTCCGGAGTGGTTGATGCTATGATGGGCCCACTCTGCAGATATATAGCTCTAAAACTTTCCTATACTTTTTGCCTCCCGTGCCTCTCACCTATATATTCCTAAATATAAGTCGACACTCCCTGGCTTCCAGCAATGCCTTTCACGCCTGAGCTTAATGATACATTTGGTGCTGTTTTAGTGGGAAGCTTCATTTCTACTGCGTAAGTCTAATACTCCGACTCCATGTAGTCAACGTGTAGTTGAAGGTTGACACCTACTGTCTGAAAAAGCCTCTATGGTCTAACATCACATCAATTTTTTCGCTATTATCGAATGTACTCCTCTGATCCAGTGCGACTAAAAATCATGGTAAGTTATTCATGTCTCTGTTCTGCATAGTCTAACAAAATACAGATTGCTGTACTATGGTGAATAGTGTTCAGACACTTATACCAATGTAGCTAATGGGTTACAGGGTCATGGACACAGTAAACTTGGTATTAATGATGCATTCAAGGTTGGCATTTCTAGTACATCAGTGCTTGCAAAGTTTTGACTCTTATTCAGTTATTACTATCTTGTCACACATTATGATCAACCAGTAATACTACTTTCTGGAGTATGGTAAGTAACTAAAAAAATTTAAAAGTGTTACTGTAATATCTAAACATATTGATAAACAGGTCATTCCGTGTAAATGTATAATTTTGATTGTACTCATCTGATTGCTGATATATTATTTATTAGGTGTCCATCTCACTGACAGTTTGTGCAATTACTTAGAAACTATATACATAATGACTTATTAATTGATCTACAGGGAGCTATTAGCCTTCTGACACATATGTTGGTTAATTTATGTCAGAATGATGAAGGAAACTGCTGACCATTTCATAGTTTCTTTGCTCATCGTGTTTACATTTGTAAGCTATCAATTAAAGTCTTTCTTTCTTGTATCAGACTTTATAATTTTGTTTAGTGAGCAGAACAAGTAGATGGGTATCTGGAGCAATAGTAAGCTGTCTCAATAATAATCAAAATTTGTTATCTGACTATGACCTGCAAGTTTGTCACTTCTATAATTCAATTTGGTAGGCTAAGTTATAATATACTAAGTCAAGTTGCAATCTAATATAACATACTCAGGTTTCTGCATTGGTAAATAGGGATAGTAGTAGGGTGGACAATCTACTAATTAGTACTTTACTGGGCAATATTACAGCAACTACAGCCATTACGTGAGTAAAGGTTCCTCCTTTCCTTCCTTCAAAGTTTGACATGTGTCTTTCCCAGGTTCACTGCAGGCACCTTTGCAAACTTTGAAAAGTATCACTGGCTTCTTGTCACTACTACAGCAACTGTGGCAATGTCCGAGATCCTGACGACTTCGATATTATGCTATTACCTCATCAACAGTAATTGCAGATTCACAAGGTTTGCATGTATTCAAGTCATAATTCAACCCTTGCTGTTTCACAAACTCTTATTGTTTGCTTCTCATTAGCAAGGATACACTTATAGACAAAATATTGGTTTATGCTATCAATGCAGGAATTGTAGCAAGGTGGGTTTTTGACGATTCAGGAGCTTCCTGCATACTATTGCTCAAACATAAGCTAGTATCCTTGCAGTCATGGTACTTATCACTGTTGGTGTTCACCCTTTTCTTTGCAAAACGTTTATACAATTTAACTAATTGACAGTCTCTTGCAATGAAGGCGAACCTCATATTCCTTGGTCTTTATTTTATCCGGAGCAAAAGTCAGTGTTTGTTATCCTACAAGAATTATTATCAGCTTTAACTTCACAATAGTGCCAGCAAATTCAATAATGGCTATGTAAGACAAACATTTATGGAAGTGGAACTGGCTATTAACGGCTTTTCAACTTCATATATCAAGCTTTAATGCAAGGAGAACCACATATGTCCCTGCACAGATAGGGTCTTTTGACTTGGGAGCGAAACCTGGAAATTTATTTGGTACTATACGACGCAAAGCACTTACTGTGAGTTATCTTTACTGCTAGTAGATGCAGTGCACTCAACCGCATGCAGAGAGATCGTCCAATGGATGGGATAATCATTACTCGAACTATTCACACAGATTTTGGGAGAGTGGAGGAACACAGAGTAAGTCCTAATTTCCAGTAATTTTTAGTGATCTATTCGGGAAGCTTATGTAGAAATCCAGTACCGGGAGAATATTCCAATGAAGAACAACATTCCTACACCAAGCATTGAAAGTACAGAGCCATAGCTTTGTTTTGAAGGCATAAGAGCTTGTTTCTAGGGTTATGATTGCAATATATTTAATGACTAATGACAGTTGTTATTTCATGTGAAAATAAAGAGAAACTGTACATCCTTTCTTGCAGTTTGCAATGTTTGTACTAGCTGGATAACACAAATTACAATAGTTGCAAAATTGTGTGACTTCTAATAATGATGTGAAAATGATTGTGAGAGGTGGGTACTTGGATTACTTAGCTAATAGCATATACTATCAGCTTCCCTAGATTGTGACTTCTTGGAACGTAAGGCTCACGACACAAATGCCAAGCGCAAGGTTCGTTATGCTGGCAGACAACTCTGTGAAGTTTGAAACCTTTGTCTCCACAAGGTTTAAATTATAGTTGCTGATGTCCGGTCCCGGACCGCTCGGACTCGGTCCGGATGCAGGACTGGACTGATGGACCGGTCCTCTACAGTCCGGTCCTCATGGGTCCAGGAGAGGTCCGGTCCTGGGTCCATCATTTTGAGAAATTTCCCGGACCAATGGACTCGTCCGGACCCGGACTGGACTCTGGACCTGAATAACCTGAACTAATGTCTCAAATCTCATTTCCCATATCTCTAGCTCACTATACTAAAACAGATCATACTCCTTTAAGGATCTTTGAATATTAGCTAGCACTTGCATAGTACATTTTACAAGTTTCTAGCAGTCCAAGCAAAGCAAAACTTTATTCCTGTTCTTTACTGTTCAATGTATGGCTTACTAAACTTGACTCTTCCTATCTGGTTATTGTCTCCCGAAATATTTATTCCCTTTATGT